ATATAAAACAGCCATCAAAGATATTTAGTATATAAACCCATTGTCATAGATATATAGTATATAAACCCATTGTGGTGTATATATAGTATATAAACCCATCATCACAGAACTTCAGTATATAATCCCAAATTACAGATATTTAGTATATAAACCCGTTATCATAGATTTTTGATATATAGACCCATCATGACAGATCTTTAGCATATATACTGATCATCATAGACCTTCACTATATGAATCTGTTGTCACAAGTATTTATTATATAAACCTGTCATCACAGATATTTGATATAAAATATATTATTACTCTTCTCTATATAAAAATCTGTTGCAGATATTTAGTGTTAACACCTGTCAATGATCTTCATTATAAAAAACATGTCCTAACTTTACATTTACACTTAACTTTACAGAGAGAACTGATACATTTCTTTTTATAAAGAATAACAAAAATCAGTCTCATATCAGTAACACCAATTCAAAAAGCGCTTCCAACAGCATTCTTTCGAATCCTCTTTTTTTTATCATAAAGAAATTACCATAGCACCAAGCAGTCTACTGGAAACTAAAAATACCTTTATCTTACAATAAACAGTGCAAATAAATGTTTAAAAACACTTCATCTTGTAATACACATAAGCCTTCTCAAACTAACAAATCTCTTGAAAATAACAGTGACCTCATAAATCATACAGGTAATGATGAACACTCCTCAGATATCTCTAACATTGTTAATATTTCAGACATAACTCTCTCTGAAGCAGAACTCAGTCTTCTTAGTAAAGGTCTCAACTTCTGCCCAAATAACAATTATGTTAAAGAGCCCAAAATTCATTCTAATCTGCATGAATTCTCTAGAAAATTAAGACTGTGCAAATTTTCTCCCAATAAACTCCACCCTACTGAAAATCAACATGCACTGAACTTCAAAGGAAAGTCTCTATGGACACCTCCACCAAACAGAGAAACACATTCAGAGAGTTATATTAAAGAAGTAGAAAATGACAATACAGACTTTAAAATCTTCCAAGCAATGTAATAATAAATAATATTAACCAAAATGCAAGAAGTGCTTTAAACAATCTTAAATCGAACAACAATATCATAATAAATCCAGGAGACAAGGGTGGAACTGTTGGTATTCTTAACAAAGATGACTATATCACGGAAGCTAACTGGCAATTTGAGGACATTAATTTCTATACGAAACTCTCACATGATCCTACAACTCACTTTATTAAGACCATAACTGATAAGCTTAAAGAACTCCTCCAAAACATTACAATTAACAAAGAGACCTTTCAGTATTTGATACCCCGATAAGCTTTTCTTGGTAGATTTTATCTCTTAACCAAAATACACAAACCAAACAATCCTGGTCGACCAATAATTTATAATTTAAACATAGCTACTGAAAAGCTATCTGCTTTTGTTGACCAACACATAAAATGTATTCCCTGTGCCCTCCCTTCTTACATAAAGGATACTACTCACGTTCTTAATATCATAGAAGATATTAATACTAATGAACAGTTACCATCTAACAGTCTTCTTTGAATGATGGATGTTTCTTCCCTCTAAACTAATATTCCACATGATGAAGAACTAGAAACTCTAAAGTCTGCATTTAAACCTTTC